GGGAAAGAGAAATCCTTTCCCATCTGGGAAAGGTTAGTATTTGCAGGAGTGGGGAGGAGGTGGTTGGTATTTCCCCAGGTGCCTATTAATTTCATGGGATGGAAAAATATTTTTTAAAAATTGATCACGACAAAATACCTCATAAATGCAGCATCTGGACTTCAGCTGGGATGTGCAAGCTTTTCATATAAAAAGCAGTACCAGGAGACCAACCTACCAAGACTGCATTTGTTGTTCAAATGTCATCATACCACAGTATGAAAGAGCAAGAAACCAAAGGATTTGGGAGGAAAAAAAAAAAAAAATTAAATGTTTAATTAGATTCAGCTTTGCTGAGAGAACTAGAGATTCTCACCTTTTTATTCAATCATACTAAAGTCCAACTGGTGTGAGGGCCTGACTCTGGACCAGGCGTTGCTGCCTGCCTGCAAACATTTTTGTAGACAGATTGCATTGGCCTGACACACATCTGAAATTATAATCTGCCCTGAACTCTCGACTGAGAAACCATTTCTACTCTGCCTGAAATGAAATTTATTGGAAGCTCTGATTTTATTAGTGCATTCTGAATTCATCCAATGACCTGATTTATGGTCTGCCTGCTTGCTTTTCTTCCTACAGACACCAACAACTTTTCTGAGCTCTGCTCGTTAAAATCGTAACTAGAGCCAAGTCTGTCCTGCACCGAAGGCTGCTGACCAGAGCAGAGATGCCAGAGGGTGACCATGTTTAGGTAAAGTTTGAGAAGTCCTTGGGCTGCAATGGTGACGCTGCATCCTCTCTGCCAGACTCATCCCTCTGCCCCTCAGGTCAGCCAGGAAGTGTTACTCAAGCTTCTGAAATACTTTAAGAGTAGGGGAGGAGAAGAAAATCTACCACATGGCCAAGTTGTTCTGACCATTTTCAGGCATGGTTCCCATCTCCCAACAAAAACGGGAGTTTACTACAGGAAATCTTGAATGGAAAAAAAACAACCCAAACCCAACCTGCCCAAAACCGACCTGCACCACAAACCCAAACCAACTCCAAAACTGACTTGCTGTCCTTGTTTCGCAAATCACAGACTGTTTTCCCAGGGCAGCGTCCCACTGACTTGCACAAAAATGAGCAAAGAATAACAGTTCTCAATAGAGGCCCTTCTGCAGGACTATACCTGGCTGCAATATCTGTTTTGTAACTTGTTCCAGTAACTGACCTTAAACATTGGCAAAGGCAGACCATGAGCTAACTGATTTGCTTCTGTAGCTGTCTGACAGCGTTTAACATTTCCTGCACAGAAAGGGACGGTAGCCTTGTAAGAAAAGAAAGGTGGCAATTGGCTTTTAATTTGGGTCACTTTAAGCAAATTTCTCAAATCTTTGATTTACGGTACTGGCCCCACATGAGGAAAAAAATAATCAAAAGTAGATCAGAGCGGATGAATCATAAAAGCAATGCACAAGTTAGCTGTACCTTCCCCTTCTGTGCAATGAATATCCATCTGATGACTCCGATTTCCTCAGGAATACATGTTGGTCAATTAACAGCTTGAGATTTTTTTTGTTACGGACTAATGGCAAATTTTTATAATCAGGCCGTGCTGTATAACCATGAATGGCTATTAGTCACAGGTTATTGTGCCTGGCCAACGATTAGGTGAGCGAGACGCACTTCCAATATTAATGCTGTATGTAAGAATTGATTTCTGTGAAAGCTTGTGCGTGCAGCTCTGACATTCAGTCTCTGTCACTGTGAGTGCAGGTGAAATACTGACTCCATGGAAGTAGATGGCAGAGCTGCATGGGGCCAGGCCTTCACCCTCAATCACTCAGACGTTCCCAGAAAGCAAATGCTAAGGAGGTGTGAGCAAGGCCAAAGCAAAATGGGCTGCACATCTGCAGGAAAGCATTTGCTGTAACAGGATGCAGCCCCAACATCATCTCTGGCCACGTTTGTTTTATAAGGAGATCAAGGCTTCAGCATAAGAAAAATGCTCTGCAGGAACGGTCTGCTTTTTCCGGTTTTTGGAGGTTTTCCAGCAGGTACTGCAATGGGAGCTGAACAGGCTTGCCTAGGGCAGCTGACGTTTTGTGAGTGGGGTCCTCTTGCCATCCCTGGACCACAGTGTGTGTGGTTGTAAGTTTGCCTGGTTTTAAATTCTCTAGAAAAGCCCATGGTATATTACACTCACCTGGGACGCAAGGTACCAAACACTTACCTCCCAGGCACAAGAG